GTGTGTATCTGGATGACATTCTGATCTTCACCCAGACAGTCAAGCACTATTACTGACTGATCCAAGCAGTTCTACAACAGCTCTAAGATAATAAACTGTTCCTCTGAGAAGTAAAGTACTCTTTTGCACAGGAGTCAGTGGATTATCTGGGCTTTGTGATCAGTAGAGGAGAGGTCTGTATGGATCTGGCAAAGGTAACTGTAGTTTGGAACTGGCTGCAACCTCAGAACCTGAAACAGGTCCAAGCATTCCTTAGGTTTGTGAACTACTACTAACACTTCATTTAAGGCTTCAGTACTATTGCCTGGCCCCTTCACAATCTTACTAGCAAAGATGTTCCTTGGTAATGGGAGGATCAGCAGCAGTCTGTGTTTGAGTCCCTAAAGCAGACTATCACCAGTAAGCCTGTATTAGCAGTTCTAACAGTTGCAGACAAGTTCTGAGTCAAAGCCAACTCTTCTGACTTTGTAAATGGAGCAGTACTGTCCCAGTTTATTGACAGAAAGTAGTGTCTGATAGTGTTCTGATCAGAATCCCTCTCTGTAACAGAACAGAACTACCCTATCTATGACAAGGAACTCCTTGCAATTGTCTGTTCCCTGGAAGAGTGGCATTAATATCTCCTCAGTACTGTACAGAAGTTCAAGATTTGGAGTGATCACCTTAATCTCTAGTACTTCTAGGTGCCCCAGAAGCTCAACTACTGCCAAGCCTGCTAGATGTTAGAACTGTAGGACTTTGACTTTGTGCTGACCCACAAACCTAGAACACAAATGATGAAAGCTGATTTACTCTCAAGACAAGCAGGTCATGAAAGGGGGGAGAATAATAATGAAAATCTTGTTCTCCTAGACAATTCCTGTTTTGTGTCCAAGACAATCCAAGAGATCCAACTCAAATCCAAGGATGTTGACTTTGTCACCCACATACAGTAAGCTCTGAGACACACACAGGACTGGGTCATAGTAAAGCAGCTGAAGAAGCAGGCAAGGAATTAGGAGGAGGATAAGGATGGACAGGTTTACTAGGAAGGCTGACTGTATGTTCCAAAGGATTGGAAGCTGCAGGAGAACATTGTCTGAGCTCATCACAACAATCTGACTACAGAACATCTGGGCTGACACAAAATGCAGGAACTCATCACTCAGAACTACTGGTGGCCTAGAATGTAGAGGGAAATCCTGAAGTATGTGACTGGTTACAATACATGCTAACAGACTAAGGCCCACCAGACAAGGGTTTGGGCTCCCTTACATCTGTATTAGATTCTGGATCACTCTTGGGAAGAAGTCTTGGTGGACCTGATCAGTGAGCTACCTGAGTCTCAGGGTTACAATACTATCTGTGTAATTGTTGACTGATTCTCTAAGCAAGTCCATACAGTTCTGACCTGAACAGAACTCACTTCTGAAGGCATAGTACACATTTATCAGGATTATGTCTTCTAGTTACACAGACTCCCTTGGAAGCTCATTCATGATTGCAGACTGTAATTTGAGTTGAAATTCATGCAGGACTTGTATGTGCTTCTCAGAATTCAAGGGAACCCTTCTACTACCTATCACCTACAGACTGACAGTCAAACTGAGCAAGTCAATCAGGAGATTGAGCTCTACCTCTGAATGTTTATCAATCATCAGCAATCAGATTGGTCTGAATGGCTAGCTCTAGCAGAATTCATACACAATAACTAGCAACACTCTGTAACAGGACAGTCCCTGTTCTTCCTCAATCATGAGAGACATCTGTACTAGGGGACAGTTCTGAACTGGAACAGTAGTTCTGAATCCACAACAGACTTTGTAGAACAGATGCACAGAACCAGGGAGGACACACAAGCTCTTTTGGAAAAGGCAGTACAGGTTATAAAGCAGAACTATGATTGGAAGAGGTCTGTGGCCAAGGATTACCAGCCTGGTGACAAAGTTATACTGGAAGCTACTAACCTGACCATGGATTGCCTAATGAAGAAGTTGGACAACAAGCACTTCAGACCCTTTGTTATTGAAAAGAAGGTTGGTGCCTCTGCCTACAAACTCCAACTTCCAGCAACATGGAAGCACATACACCCAGTGTTTAACAAGGTTCTACTGTCTCAATACTACAATCCAGGTTTTCCTTCACAACAAAGACTCCTACTACCTTCACCAGAACTCATTGGTTCTGAACTGGAATACAAAGTAGAGTACATAGTGGATGCCAAGCTGGTGTACAGAAAACTCAAGTTCCTTATCCACTAGAAGGGATACCCAGTTAAAGAATACACTTGGGAACCTGCTAAGAATCTCACCCATACTACTAAGGCAATCTAAGACTTCTATTGACTTCATCTGGGTGCTCTGTATCAACTCTGCCTCATGGATTTCCAAACCCTACTGTTCTGACCTATGCCTGAGCTGCTGACTGAGCCTAATGTTCACCAATCAGGATGATTGGTTTTAGAGGGGGGGTGATGTTACAATTCTCTACTCTCTTACCTTCAGTTCTGAGGGTTCTGCACCCTTCTGTACTGGAACTCAGGACTTCTGTCCCTCAGAGGTGCTGTCTATAGACTATATGCATGCTGACTCTTACTACTACCCTTCCTTACTTCATTATTCCATTCCTTTGACCACTCCTTCATTCTCTGTTCATTCTATAGTCTCTTACCCTTTGTCCATCCCTTCATTCTTTGTACCTTTATCTTTGACATTCCTTTCTTTCATTCTTCATGGCTTATCATTCTTAGTGGCTCATGCTCCCTGAGTACTCTTGTGTAGTTTAGTATATATAGGTGTACAAGATCAGACTGGTCCTGTAGTCTTGATCTTGTCTACTCCAGGTAGTCCTGTACTCTTAGGCTCACTCTATATACTCTACTCTTGTCTCACTCTCTCTCTCTGCCTGTTCTGCAAGTTCTGACTATGTTCTGGTGCTTGTATCCTGTATTTCTGTTGTGTAGGATAGTTGTAGCCTGGGTCCCCTTGCTGAGCCTTCAGGTCCCCTCTATGCTGTTGCTGACAGGCTGCTACTGTATCTTCTTCTTGATAGGACAATAATGAACTTACAGTAGTGAGTAGCTTGAGCTGTAATGAAACACACACATAGTCAGGAAGTTGATTGAGCCAGATATTAGCTGTAATTAATGCAACTGGCACAGACTTGACACAGTTCAAAGATGGTAGAGAGGGTATGTGCTTTGGATGTAGGTGAATACCTTCTACTTTAGTAATAGATGTACAATTTATTCTTGAATACAGGATCTAGCAGTCCTTTACAAGGTGATTAATATACATGAAACAGTATTTGAAGTATCTATTGTGACAATCAAGCATGAATTTCTCTGTGGTCAAGAGTTTCTCAATTTTCAGGCTTACTACATTCTCTTAGGCCTGAGAAATTGTATTAGAAGTCCTCAAGGGACTAGAGAAAGAGGGAGCTGACTGTGTGGCACAACTGCCTTTGTAGCTACAGATTGTATCTACAATGAGCTTATAGTGGTTACATACACAGTTGTCAGCCTCACAAACAGTAGCAAGCCAGTCCTGGAAGTCAGTAATGCCTTGAATTCCAGGTTCAGAGTACACTCGTTTGAGGTCAATATCCAGACAGACACTTATGAGAAAGCAGATTTCCTGGTAAGAGAGGATGGCAGGACTTCTGCTGAGGAGATAGTTTCAGCCAAGAATCTTGAAATAGAACTTGTTAGCATGTTTTCTGTCCTGTTTGAGATTTTCGATTTCATTACACAGCTTAAGGTCCCAATTATGCTTGAGAACAATTCCCTTAAGGTTGGTAATGAACTCTTCAAACTCTATAGCCTTAATCTAGCCAGGTTGGGCTGCATACCAACTATAGACTTTAATAGGCTCAAGACCATGTATGATGAGGCAGACTTGTTCATTGTTGGGAATATTCTTGTGTGTGAAGAAGGCAGTGCATTTGCAGACATATTCACCAAGGAGCTTTAGGGTCATTTGACTGTCTATTACAGTAGGGGCAGAGTTGGGCTTATAACCACTAATTTGGGCTAGAGGACAGGGCATGTTGGAGTAGACAGGTGGCTGGTAGCTAGTGGCAGGTCGAGTGCAGGAGGCAGGTGGCAAGTGGCAGGTCTAGGCAGCAGGTGGCAGGTACAAGTAATGAGTGGCAGGTGGCAGGTTGACAGTCAGAGAAGCTAGTAAGTCTTTATAGCAGTTGGCAGGCCAGACAATTGTGACGTTCAAAAAAAAGTGGAGACAATGTCTCACTCAGGTTGCAGAACAGGCAATTGACTGGTATTGAAGGAGGTACAAGAAGAGATACAGTCTCAGGAATGTCTTAGAGCTATTTATAAGATAAGTCATGTGATGAGGCTAACAGATCGCGTGTAACCTCCACAAGGTTACATATACATGCTGGGGACACACTGAAACCGTTTGAAATCAGGATGATGAGGTGAATGAGAAGGGGCAAAGGCTAATTATGTAGTTTGCTGAAAGACCAGTGCTGCACGACTTGCCGGAATTTTGCATGCACTAAAGCAGTATAGAAACTATGTCCAAAAATCTCGGTATGAAAGAAAGTAGTTGCTCTGAAAGGAGAAACTAGCTGAAATGGTGTGACTAAGGAAGAGATTCAACAGAAGAAAAGTAACGAGTCATTATGAACAACACTTTCAATAAAATGAACGGGGAAATGGACGGTAAACAAAGGCGACGAGACTGGAACTTAAGAACTTTGTGACTTATTCAACGTACTGAAACCTTACTCCACTATAGATTTTAGAGCACCGGAGCCATGATTAGGCCTGTTTCTCTACGCCAACTTTTCTGGGGCTTTTCTTTGCGCTGCTGCCTATATCGTTTACTTAGAAGCACATATTATTACTGAGAATTGCTGTTCTTATTTGCCGTTTACCACCGTGTTTCCTTACTACGTTTTCTTGACCTGTTGTCTCACCTGCTATCCACGTTAGACAATATATCATGGGTGTAAAAGAGAACTTATTAGATTGCAACGAATATAATTGCAAAAGGGAGTGTACTTCACAAATGACACCAATCACAATCATTACAGGACAAAGCGACATTCACTGGGTAGCAAAAAGAGTCATTGAGTGTGTATACGCCCCTTCGTCGTCTGAAGAGGCGCTTTGGATATGAGAAGGTGAGTGGGAACTACTTCACCAGAGGCCGGATACCCATTCCGCTATCCTTCAAACTTCCAGAATAATTCTTAAGTTCCTTCTCGTATGCAGCTGTAATAAGGCATGAGTCAATAACTATAGATAGGCAAATAAATCGACTGTGAGTGTGCCAACTCACTAAGCGCTTTGTCAGATTCCAATCTAGTCTTCTTCGCTGGAGCATCATCTGAGGGTTCAGCAGGAGAATCGGAAGGAGGCGCTCGCCGTTTACCCCTATTTTTCTAAACATGACACAAATTAGCATTGGTATCGCATCATACATATATAATTAGAAGATGACTTACAAAGCGGCTCTCGAAGTTACGTTTCCTAGAATGTCAGTTAGCAGCCAAGTACGGTGGATACGGCAAAGTGAAAAGGACATTACGCTTCAAGTTCAGCTTCTCGTTTCTTCTTCTCATCTTCCTCCTGTAATATATACGAGCTCGGCAGTCAGCCAAACTGTAACACACGTATCACGAACAGAAACATAAGGAAAGCCTTTGCTCAATGACGTACTTTCTTCACACGCTGGAAGCGCTCCAAAAAGGAACCATCGTTAGTGAATACGTTGACTGGTTTGGGTTTCGGATGAGAGGACGACTTGGCGGTTGAACCGGATGTGGAGGGAGTGGGTGTAGTGGAGAGCCCCGGAGAAGGCGACGTGGCGGGCGCCATCGACGGTGTTGAGCCACGGGAAAGCAAGTGAGGAGCAGGAGATACAGACTGTGCGTACATTTCTCTCGTCTTCAGGGAATTGGCAAGGCGGTCGTCGGTCTCGTTGGCGGAAAGCAGCAAGTACGTTGGACGATGGTCGTCGAAGTCAGCGTGCAATGCATCATTGCATGCGACGCTTTGTGTCGACATGAATAAGCAGTCCGTATTTGGATGTTTGTTCTCGTCCGCTTTTCTTTGCTACTAGTCGCCTCTCTGAACGGATAATTCCCACTTAAATCGTTTATGCTGACACTGACTTTTGTGTCGATGAATCAATCAACATGGCAGTGAAACCTCACAGCACACTTTGAAGGATGAGATACTTCAAACATGGTCTCGTCTGCCGTACGCGTTATATCCTTATAGGTGATTTTACTGCACCTACGTGTTCAATATTGTTGCATAACTATATTCTACGTACCAACAGGCTGCTATTAAATTTAATGCAGAGAACATGTAGAGGACTACTGGAGCCAATAGTAATTGAGTGCAACTTCTTTCTTTAAGGAAAAAGAGGAACTAAACACGCCTGTACAGCAAAACAAAGGTCAACAACTACTGTCTCTTTACAAATTTCAAACGCTAATTAAGCGCCAATGTGCACCAAGTTAACCCATCGCTCCGTCAGGACATCATCCTCCACCCGCAATTTCAAAACGGCTTTACGAAGCGCAGCCGCAGACCGCTTATATATCACTTCACCGTCTTCATACTTCCCCATGTATGAATAAACTTCGCTAGCAAGCAGAGGGCCGTCCGGATCGTACATTTCCCACATCGTCCCAATCACGCTCCGAAACCCGCTAAATTGCACAGCGGCAGCTAACTGGAGTACTTCATCGTAGGAATAACACGGGTACTGTTCTGCGGTGTGGCAAGCAGAAAGAAATGCAAGCTCGGCGTTCGGAAGGTTAGCTCGGATGATGTCAAGCAGTGTCAATCCGCCGTCGGAGAGCCTAAAAGAAGAGTCGAGTGATCCACGCCCCAGATGCCCATGGCAAGCAAAATGGATCCATGTTGCTTTCTGCAGGCGCTTCAGCACTCTCTTGCGACTCGCTCTCTCATTCAGAAGCGCTGTGTGAGATGGAACATAGCTCTGTGTTTTCTTATGAATGGCACGAATTTCAGCTTCAGTCGACTTAAGCGTTATAGTGTCGCCAACAATAAGCATTGTAGGTTTTCTGGTGTTTTCCCTCGACCGAGCATTGATGAGAGCTCCGAGTGTCGGAGTATACGATGACACATAGTCATCTAATAAATACTTTGCAGCGCCATCCGCATCCTCAAAGGGCCCCGCAGCATGGAAAGGAAGAGCGGAAAGCACAGACGTAGGGCACCACCATATGCGCGATCCCTTAGGAATCCCCAGCTCCTCCAGCTTTTTGACGACCTTCGAGACCACCCTGTCCCATAATGTTTTCATTATTCGGCAGAGTATCGTGTCGTATTCTGGAGAGGAAACTCCTGAATGTACCCGCGTAATACAGAATTCGAGGCACAACTTCATGATATCCTGGTAGAACTCTCTATCTAAGGGGACGCAAACAACCGCCACGTCTTCTCTGTAGAGGACAATGAACGCATCAGATCGATATTTGCAATGGTTTATCACAATGACCGGACCCTCTGAAGCCGCTCGCCGGAGTACTCTGAACGGCGTAGCTGTTAGAAAGTTCTCAAACCCAGGGAGTCGTCGTATCTCGTTGATAAGTCCCTCCTGCTGTTTAGAAAGTCGCATCTTTAACTTTCGCTTCTCCTCGAACAAGATTTGTTCTCTATGCATAGACACAGATGAGCTGCTTCCGGCAATACTCGAATCAAGCTGCAACTCCGTGGGTGATGTTACAAGACTCTCCAACTGGTGGCTAACATTCCTGAACCTGTCAGCAAGCTCTCTGTTTGTTTCGGCAAGGTCGTCCAATGACGTCCTAAACCCACGCATCTGCGACCAGAGTAAACCTCTTCCTTGCTCAAGTATCTCTACAGCCTCTTCCAGCCTGTTACCCTCTATAGCATATGCAGCTGCATTTAATGTGAGTGTTCTGTAGTTTTTTTCCTCTTCCAGAAAGTCGCGCTGTGCATGAAGAGTGGGCCTGATGACGAGCACACGCTGCAGAAGAAACATAGCAACCTGGTATGCTCTAGCCGTTGAATGGTGAGCATGACTTTGGGCAACAGTAGTCCATTGTCTGGCGATATGGAGACGTTGAATTAAGCTGGAGAATTCATACTCGGTGGCACATTTCAGCAACTGTATACATTCTTCAAGATTATCCATGGACCCGAACGTCTCAAATCGACAGAATAATGAAAGGGCCAAGTCCGACAGCGATTGAGAACGCATGACATGACCGTCGACGTAAAGTTCTAGGGCAGCACGATGGTGCTCGATGGATTCATCAAGATCTGCATCCTGTCTCTGCTGTTTAAACCGAGAGAGAAGAGAAGTTGCAAGGCAACTCAGGCATGTGGGGCGTTTGGGATGGCTATCTGGTACTAGCTTCAAGGCAGCACGTAAATTATCGATGATCTCATCCAGACCTGCAGTCTGTTCATGCTGTTCAGATTGACATTGAAGGGATCTTGCAAGGCTGATCAAAGGTATTAAACGCTCGGGGTTGTCGTCAGATTGTTGGCGCAAGGCAGCACGACTAAGCTTGATGGATTCATCAAGGTCGTCAGTCTGTCGATGCTGTCGAAACCGAATTCGAAGTGATGTTGCAAGATTACACAGGGATAAGGAATGATGGAGATGGCCTTCTGGTAGAAGCTCTAGGGAAGTACGATGATACTCGATAGCATAATCGAGGTCTATAGACTGTCCATACTGCTCAAATCGACTGCGAAGGCAAGTTGCAAGATTATTCAGGGAGAAAAAAGTAGAGAGAGGGCTGTCACGGCAAAGGTCCAGGGAAGCACGGAAATGATCGATGGAGGCATCAAGGTCTGCAGCCCGTCCATAATGTATATAACGAGTTTGAAGGGATACCGCAAGATCATTCAGTGCCGTGGAACGAAGGTGCTGGTGATTGGGTCGAAGCCCTAAGAGAGTGCGGAAATGCTTGATGGCCTCGTCAAGGTCTGCAGTCCGCCCATACCGCTCAAATCGGGCTTTAAGGGAATTCGCAAGGTTACACAGAGACAAATAATGGTCAGGATGGCTGTCGGGGAGATGTTCCAGGACAGCACGGAGTTGCCCAATCGCTTCATCAAGGGTCCCGTCCGTCCAGGTAGTCTGAATTGAATTCCAACATGGGTTAGAAGACTCTTTGTGTATACAGGAATATCGGGATGATTATCTGGGCAAATGTCCAAGGCAGTGTAGAGAAGCGTAATTGACTCCTCTAGATCCTCTATTCTCCCGCATCGCTTAAATTGTGTGAAAATAATTAATGGAAGGCGAGACAATATTATGCAGCGATCCGGATGTCCTTCGGGACAAAGTCGAAGTGCAATACGTCTATGAAACAGGGATGAATTGAGTTCTTCCTGGTGCCCTGATTGCTGAAATCGGTCCCAGTGTTCAATGCTCAGTCGCCAGAGCACATGACAAACCAATTCGAGGTCTACATAGAACTCCATGCCAATGTGGAAATGCATAAGGGCCTGTCAATAGTCTAATACTAGTTGTGTGAGATATATGGTCGAGGGATGCAAAGAAAAGAGCTACAAGGGCTGTATTACCTGATAATAGATATCCTCCTTTGCACCTAAGGCTTACTTGTGGTATTTACTGCCTTCTACACAGATGCTTCTCCATGAGTCTAAATGACTTTCCTTCTCGTCATTCTTTTGAGTGTTTTAACAAGTGTAGCAGGAGTGCCCCAAGTACTCTCTCTTATTGAGACATCAAGCGAGTGTCTACCTTATATACTACATAGTGAAGTCTGATAGTCTGAGACATTCCAAGTGCAGTAATTCTACATAAGGCAATTAGGGATTTCCTAATCCAGAGTGCAATCTAATACTCCCCTTCAAGTATTAATTAAGAACTAAGACTGTATGCTTAATAGTTTGTTTAGATGCTTGATCTGTAGGACATGGAGAGCCTTCATAAGGATGTCTGCTAATTGGTTCTGTGATTGAACATAGCATACATTGATGTAATTGTTTTGAATGTAACATTGCACAAAGTCTTTTTGTAAATCAAGATGTTTAGTGTGAGTGTTGTATGTTATTTTGTCAGACTTTACAGTCTTTATTACACCTTGATTATTGTAATAAATTGTAATAGGTGCTGATTCAGTCTGTAGTACTTCTTTGGCGAATTGTTTGAGCCAAATGGCTTCTTGAGTAGCATATGCTAGTGCTTGCAACTCTGCTTTGTAAACAGATAGTAGTACCAGGTTTTGCTGTTTGCTTGACCAAGATATGGTTGATTTAGCTAATTGAAAGATGTAACTGTTTATTGCTTTATGTCCTTCTGTCATTTGTCTGTCTGCATCACAATAGCCTCATAGTTTTAAGGTGTTTGTGCTTCCAAGTTGAAGCCAACAATTTGTTGTATATTTTAAATATGCAAAGCAATGTTTCACTACTTTGTAGTAATGTGTTTAGGGCTTTTGTAAGTAGCATGCTAATTGCCTAGTAATATAAGATATGTCTGGCTGTGTGTAGTCTGCAACATATCTTAACAATCCTACCATATTCATGTATGGCATTGTTTCATTATTACTTTTGTTTGTATTGTACATATTGTTTGTATTGTTAGATAGATCTATTCTAGGAGTAATAAGTGTTTGTAGTGCCTTTTCGTTTTTAAAGTGGTAATGCTTGATTATACTTTCAATATAATGCTTTTACTGTAAGCTAATCATTTGTTGAGGTCTATCTTGACTTATTTCAATACTAAGTAACTAATGTATTTTGTTACTGTTAGTAAATGTAATGTGTTGTCTTAATGCATGTTTAAATGCCATTATTATAGCAATAGTTTTGCCAATAATTGTAATATTGTTAACATGTATAAATGTTACAAGAATTGTTTTATTATTTTGTTTCTTGTAAAATACAGTGTGATTGTAATTAGCTTGTTCTAATCTGATCTTAAGTAGTAGTTTGGTAATCTTCTTGTACCATTGTCTACCTGCTTGTTTCAATCTGTATAATACTTTATTTAAGTGTAACACTTGTCTAGGTTTAATATCTGTAAGTAGCCTGCCTGGTGGTGGTTTCACATAAATGAGTTTGTCCTCATTTAATTCTCTGTAAAGATATGTGGATTTTACATCTATCTGATGTATTTTGTAGTTCTTAGATGCTGCCCAAGATAACAATAATTGTACTGTTGATAGTTTTGTTACTGGAGCAAATAAGTCATTAGAATAGAAGTCTATTCTATTCTTTTGAGTGTATCCTTGTACTACAAATTGTGCTTTGTATTTGTCTATTTGGCTGTTAGCTAGTCTTTTGATTTTATAGACAAATTTCATTCTAATTATATTTGTATTTGTAGGGGGGATAGCATATATTTATGTGTTTCATTGTTGAAGTGACTGTATTTCATCCTTCATAGCTTTGATCCACTGTTCTTTATCTATATGTGTTATAGTATTGTAATATGTTAATGGATCATTATAGACTTTGTTGAGGAATTTGTTAAATTCTGTTAGATACATAGTTAGGTTTATATTGTCTTTGTAATTTAAACCTATAGTTTGTTTAACCAGTCTTTACTCTTGTGTAGAGTATTGTATGACAGGTTCTTTATCTTTATTATTGTTATTAGGAAGAGTTTCATTGTTTGATGTATTATTGTTATAATTATTCTCCCCTTCAATCCTAGACATTGGTTTGTCTATGAATTGTACATTGTGTTCAACAGTAACTTTATTATCATAGCACACTAAGTGACCTTTACTGTTGTTATCATAACCTAGCTATTGTGTGTGTTAGCCTCTAGGTTGTAGTTTATACATTCGTTCGTTCTGTATAATACAATATGTACTGAATTCTTGTATATTATCTATTTGATAATGTTTGTTATACTGTTTATAATATAGTGTTGTAAAATTAATAGTAACTCTCAGTGTTCTGTTATGAATAAACGTTTGATATTGTACCACATATACTCAGAATTTCATAAGTAACTTTGCTAATAACAGACACGTATGTATACTGTTAAAGATAGTCTTATACATATGTTTCACAACTCTGTTCTGCTACAGTGTATTGTGTACTGTTAATCTACATATTGTTCCTTGACTTTCAATATATGTAGTAAAGTCTTTACTTAGGAACACTGTATTGTTATCACTTTGGAGAGTTTTAACTCTTATACTGTACTGTGTAAAGAGTCTCATTGTATGCTTTACATATTCTGTGAAAGCATTACTTTTATGCTGTATAGGTAGCATAGTTACCCATTGTGTAGCATCATCTACAATAGTAAAAAGATATTTGTACTTACTGTAAGCTTGTACTGGGGCAGGTCCCCAAATATTAATATGGAGATGATCTCCATAAGATTGTGTAAGAGGTGTTGTTTGTATTTTTGGTATTTCATTACATTGTATGTTTGCTTTGATACAATCTGTACACTGTACATTTTTATTGTCTGTTATCCTTTGACTTATAATCTTAGAATACTCTTGTATGAGTTTGTGCAAGTAATCAAAATTAACATAACCCATTTGTTGATGTAAATCAACAATAGTGATTGTGTTAATAGATTGTTTATTATGATGAGAAACTATCATATACAAGTTATTTTGTACATGTATTTCACTAATCTTTGTATGAGCAGAAGAATAAATAATACATTCATTGTTTGTTTTTGTTAAAACATATCCTACTTTACATAATAGTGCTTCACTAACAAGTGTGAAGTTCAGATTGGGATGATAGTATATGTTTTGTAGTGAAATCATATTCACCTTAGTATGCTCATCAGCTTTGTCTCATAGTTTTACATTAAATGTCATTACTCTACTTTTGCTAAGTGTGAATGACAATTTATTTACAATTGTAATGTTTATTAGGGTCAAGTTCTAAACGTTTGTAAGACAGAACAAGTATAGAGTAGTGTGTACATTTGCACCAGAGTCCAATATATTAATACAATGTATTAGTTCAGTATCATTATAACATATTGTATTGATACATATGTTTGGATTGTAATTAAACTCCTTAATGACTTCTTTCATATTGTCAAATGAGTTCATGAAGTCATCTACTTGTATGACACTATCCTCTTATACTTGAATGCTGAA